TTTTCACCTGAGCTCTGCATTACACCTCCCAGCTGCTGTGCAGCTATCCACATAGACTTGCACTCTTACTGGTGAGGCAATAACTTCTACAGTATTCATTAGTAGAAAATATTTGCATAAGCAATAAATTAACAAAGGTAAGTGTTTTTATTTATTCTGAAACAGAGTTGGGATTGGTCCGGCCTTGGGCAGGGGGCTGGATATGATGACCTCCTGAGGTCTCTTCCAGTTCTATGATTCTATGATTTGGATTGCAGCAGCACATAAAGTTCAGGATCCCATTCTATGTGCAAACACTAAGGATAGTCTAGACTGTGGTGCTACCCCGCATCTTTTAAACGTGCCTGTTATTTTGAAATATTTTTCAAAATAACGAGTGCACGATTTCGGCATCCCAGTAATCTTTGCTTCACAAGGGGTAAAGGATGTGTCTAATTAGCATGTTATTTCAAAATTTGGTGCAGTATAGACGTGCTAAATTTCAAAATACAATCAAAATAAGATATGCAATTTGCGTAGCATAAATTGTGTATCTTCGAGTTTAAGGTGTTGTGTAGATGCACCCATATAGAAAATCTCAGAGGGATAGCTGTGTTAGTATGTAACTTTGAAAACAAGTAGTCCTGTGGCAATGTAGAGACTAACAAAAATATATAGGATCATGCGCTTTCATGGGCAAAACCCACTTCATCAGATGAGTTGGAGTGGAAATACCAGAATTGAAGATACATAAAACAGCAAAAGAAGTACCTGTCAATTGTAGGACCTGTGTTGATGAAGCTAATTAAGTGGGCTGGATGTATCCCATTCATAGCTTTTTATATGAAAATGTAGATGTCAAAGGCAGGGGAAATTGGCTTTGTGGAGCGTTATTCAGTTAATGTCTTTATTCAAGCCCAGGGTAATGGTGTCAAATGTATAGATGAATTTCAGTTCTGCAGTTTCTCTCTGTAATTGGGTAGTGAAGTTCCTTTGTAGAAGAATGGCTACTTTTAAATCCACGATTAAGTGACCTGGGAGATTAAAATGTTCACCAATGTAGAAAATGGGAGTCCTTCCTTCAGAGGGCTTACAGAAGAGACAAGCAAGTAGGGATGTAACAAACAGGGGGGTCCGAGTGGGAAAGACGGTACCTAAAACGATGGGATGTGCTGTGCACAGTTCTTAACCAATCGGAAGTAGTCCTCACAGTTCACCACCCATTCAGCCCTGATCAGAATGCTGTTTCAGCTGTGTCTTTGGCCTGATGAGGTATGCAGGCGTTGCCAAAGTCAAGGAATCAAGTACTATGTGCACAAGAGGCTTAGAGGGGCCATGGCTTCCATTTTATATCACAGTTCTGAGGCAGTGGGCCCAATACTGCCAGCAGTCTCTCTCCTGCAGAAATTTAATCTATACTAGGTTTTGAAATTGGCAAGGGGGTTAATGTGATGCCACCCCCATGTACGGCGAGACCTGTCCCCGCTCATTACCATTCTAGAGATCATGCCATAGAGTCTGAAAATGCAGGATCAACCCCACCTGTGCGGATGGGAAGGTAGAGTACCCCTTGGAATGAATCTGGCCCCTGGAGAATAGCCATCTTCCAGGAAGTGACTTGAGTTGAGGTTCTCTCTCTGGATTTTTACAGTAATACCCGGAGAGTGATTCTGATGCAGTGTATGGAGTTTGTTAAACAGCTATAGTATCTCTCCCCTTACCGCCCCCTGTGCCACACTATGATTTGTCTGGCAGCGAGACAGCGATCAAGGGCTTGCGCTAACCTCAGTAGCAGAATGCAACATTTTTCAAGCCATTTAGCATTTTTGTTTTATGATTGTCCAACTGCTGTGGCTAATAGCCTTTTATGGACCTAACCTCCATGAAAGCTAGATAATTTCATGGAGGTTAGGTCCATAAAAGGCTATTAGCCACAGCAGTTGGACAATCATAAAACAAAAATGCTAAATGGCTTGAAAAATGTTGCATTCTGCTACTGAGGTTAGCGCAAGCCCTTGATCGCTGTCTCGCTGCCAGACAAATCATAGTGTGGCACAGGGGGCGGTAAGGGGAGAGATACTATAGCTGTTTAACAAACTCCATACACTGCATCAGAATTTCCAGCTTAGTTGCAAAGGACCCTTCAGGAGGGAAGATACATGAGGACCAGATGTAGGCAAGTGATGAAGATACCCTATTCTGCAAGCCTCTTTCTGACTCAGCCCCGGCTCTGCAGAAGGATCCATGGGCTTATCTTGTCTGTTCAGCGATAGACAGAAAAAAACCTCATTGCTGAGTAAGTGAAAAATAAAAAACGAGACTATTACTGATTGAGAAATTGCAATGCCCGTACTGCATGACTCGTGTAATCCACAATGCTTTTCAAGCTCAGGCCAAGAGAAGCAGAAAGGTGCACAGAGGATGGTTTCCATATCCAAGCGGTGTTGTTTTGACCACTCATGCTTTTGAAAAAGTACAAATAATGCCTTGGCTCAGAACTGACAGGCAAATGCGAGAGAGTCTCATCTTGGCCCATTGCCAGCTCACGCTCATGAAACTAAGCCTGCATATTGTGATGGAAACATAACAGCTCCTTTTGCCAAAGAATAGGTCATCGAGGCTGTAGCCTGCGAACGGAAGAATTACTGCGGCGTGGAGAAAACGTGAACCAAGAGCAAGTGGAGAGGTTGAGTTCTTGATATTCGTGCAGCTTTGGAAGACACCTGAAACGTTTCACAGGGCCAAGCTTTGGTTTGCTCTCGTACAAAGTCCAGCCGGAAACCCTGCGAATAATCAGGTCTGCCTTAGAGTGCAAATGCGCTTCTTGAAAAATGAGCTACGGTTGTAATAAACCCAAGACTTGTGGCCGGCGAGATTAAAGGTGTTAGCCAGCTGAATTAGCCAGCAGAGGAACAGACTCATAGAACACTGGAACTGGAAGAGACCTCGAGAGGGCATCAAGTCCAGTCCCCTACCCTCACGGCAGGACCCAGCACCGTCTAGATCAGTGTTTCTGAAAGTGCTCCACGAAACCACTTTGAGAAACACATTAACTGGCCTCCCCAGTTTGTTTATTTACTGGTGCCGTGGCCCCGGAGCGGGGCCGCTGCTTCCCACTGCTCCGCTTGGCTGCAAAGAGCGAAACAGAGTCTCATAGGGTATGTCTACACTACCCTCCTAATTCGAACTAGCGGGGTAATGTAGGCATACCGCACTTGCAAATGAAGCCCGGGATTTGAATTTCCCAGGCTTCATTTGCATAAGCGGGGAGCCGCCATTTTTAAAACCCCGCTGGTTCGAACCCCGTGCAGCGCGGCTACACGGGGCACGAACTAGGTAGTTCGAACTAGGCTTCGTAGTTCGAACTACCGTTACTCCTCGAACTACCATTACTCCTCCTAGTTCGTGCCCCGTGTAGCTGCGCTGCACGGAGTTCGAACCAGCGGGGTTTTAAAAATGGCGGCTCCCCGCTTATGCAAATGAAGCCCGGGAAATTCAAATCCCGGGCTTCATTTGCAAGTGCGGTATGCCTACATTACCCTCCTAGTTCGAACTAGGAGGGTAGTATAGACATACCCATAGACTTTAAGGTCAGAAGGGACCGTGATGATCATCTAGTCCGACCCCCAGTGGTAGCCGCAAGGCTCCGAGGCCACGGCGCCAGTAAAGAAACAAACTGGGGCGGCCAGTTAATGTGTTTCTCAAAATGGTTTTGCGGAACACTTTCAGAAACGCTGCTCTAGACCATCCCTGATAGATGTCTGTCCAATCTGCTGTTACATATCTCCAGTGATGGAGATTCCACAACCTCCCCAGGCAATTTATTCCAGTGTTTCACCACCCTGGCTGTTAGGAAGTTTTTCCTAATGTTCAACCTAACCTTCCCTTGCTGCAATTTAAGCCCATTTCCTCTTGTCCTATCATCAGTGGCCAAGGAGAACAATTTTTCTTCCTCCACCTTGTGACACCCTTTTAGATACTCGAAAGCACAGAGCCCAACACAAGCGTTCAGAGTTCTGAACCCGCACAACGAAGGATGGGACACTTGATTTGCAAACACTGAAGAAGGCTGGCTGGGGTCAGTCCTTTTGAAAATGTACCACGTCATGACTGTTTGAACCAAGGCAGGGTGGCAACGATCGACTGTCTTGTGGAGCACCCAAGACAATCTGCAACTAACGGGTTGGGCTAACGACGAGGCCTAACTCAGCAGAGTCTGGTCAGAAATTGATATTTCCTTCACCATGATACATTTAGACAAAACCAAAAAAAATTGTCTGTTAAATTTCTTTGATTTTTTTCTGGGTTTTTTTTTGGGGGGGGGGGGGGGGAGGGTAAAAAATAAGAAGTCCCCAATGTAATTTTTTTCTGTACCTTTCAGTAATGAAACTCAAAATGTTTCAATTGTTGAAAACTGAAAAAGATTTGGTTTGGGGGTTCTGGGTTTTCATTGCTCCCCCCACCCCAAATTCAGTGAAAACAGATTTGTCCCCCACAGTCCCGTGAAATGTTTTGACCAGGTCTATTCTGAAGTCTGGATTCTGTGTCTTTTGACCCTCCATACCGACTTCAAAGTTTGCCGGCTGGTTCCCATCATAATATTCAGCCTGTCAACTTCCGTAGGGCCAATCAACTCAGCAAGACATCAACACATAAGCTCTTTGCACTGAGGGCTGACTTAAAGCCTACAGATGCATGCACATAAATCTCTGTGTATTGAAACCTGACTCCAGCACATAAAGAACTTATGTGAAGCCAAGCTTTGGGGAACACATCTGACCTTCCTATACCCAAAGCCCTGTGAAATCTGTAGAAAACCACAGGGCTCTGCAGATAACAAGGACTTTTAGGGGAGGTTTATGAGTGTAGCGGGAGGACAGATTAAGTCATAAAAGCTAGGGAGTGACAAAATCCCGAAAAGGTCCTATGGAATCTAATGAGTTGACATTTCTGAATGGAGAGGACTATAGAATGGTTTCTATGGCTACAAATCCTAGGTCATAAAAACACAAACGTACTAGCTGATCTGCACTACGGGCTGCCTGACGAGGAACTACAGAATGTGGGAGCAAGGATGAGGGACAGTAAAGAGGTAACTAAATCTAATAAAGCTGGACTACGCATTGGCCGCCTGTTCTTACACCAGGCCACCCTGCTCTCAGCTGACTCTTAGAGGAAATGTGCTCCCGGTTTCAGTGATATTCACCCCATCCCACTTGGAGCCCTCTGGTCAAACTCCTGCATTCCAACTCGGCTCCCTTGGCAGGCCTCATCTCCCCCGGGCCTGGTGTAGTTACACCACCTGCGTGCCTGGGCCTGGACCAACCACCATGCCTGACAGGTGTCTATCTAAGCTGCTCTTAAATATCTCCAGTGATGGAGATTCCACAACCTCCCTGGGCAATTTATTCCAGTGTTTGACCACCCTGGCAGGCAGGAACTTTTTCCTAATGTCCAACCTAAACCTCCCTTGCTGAAATTTAAGCACATTGCTTCTTGTCCTAAAGTTTGCTGGTGAATCACAGTGCCACCCATTAGCTGGTGAACCATCCCTGGACGGTGAACCATCTGTGGCTCATTAATTTTATACCAGTGTGTAACACCACTGATTTCAGCTGGGCCACTGTTCAGTTGTTTGGCAAGGGTGGAACAGTGGCAGGAAGAGGTGGGGCCTGAGGGAGGAGGGGGGCGGAGCAAGGATGGGAAGAGGTGGAACATGGGTGGGGCCTTGAAGTGTGGGGGTGGAGCACTCTCTGGAAACAAAAGTCAGCGCTTATAGTGAGCGCTAAGCTTATAGCATCACTGGGGACCAAGTGGTCTAGTGTCCTTCCCAAGAGGCCTCCTCTTCAGTGATATTAACAAGGGGAGAGGGGAGGGACTGATTAAGTTTCAGTTCAGTGCAGCAGGAACCCAAAGGCCAGACCCTCAAAGCTATCAAGGTGCCTAACTCCTCTTGATTCCAGTGAGAGTTAGGTGCCTAAATCCCTTTGAGGATTTGAGCCCAAGACATTAAGCTATTTTGCGGGACCTGATATTTCTCAAACTGTGTGAGAGACAAATCCGTCAGCAGTTTCGACTGACCTACCTCTGAGGTCGCATTTTCCATCTGCTTTGCAGAGATGTTGCCGATGGGGTAAGGTGTGATGCAACCGAGAATCAGACCCACAATATTTTATAAGATGGAGCAGTGGAAATGCGGTTCCTGAATTCTTGCAGTCGCTGTGAGCTGGTGCAGAGCTATGGTAAGTAACAGCCCAAAACCAGTGAGCTCTGTGAATTCAGGATGTGTTCCCTGTTGCCCATTGGAAGAGGGGCTAAAGATGAAATGTCTCTTGCGGAAAAATGTCTGGGGAATGTCCTTAGGCACCTGTATTCCTCTGGGCGAGCCGGTAGCATATTCCCGTTGCAAAACAAAACGAGCCCCCTGAAATATTATAATTTCCATGACTAAGTCTGCAGTGCTATCCGTGCATCTTAAACTCATTGGCACAGCATAGGTTTGCTAATGAGGGCAATTTGCAATCATCTCTGTTTATGCAAGATTCTGAGAGAGATTAATGACTGCGAATATCCAAGTCTCTTAATAGACAATTAATCTTCAGGGCAGGTCTGTATTGATTCTGTCATGTAAGATAATTTTCCCTTTCTTTCTTGGAGGCTTGCAAGAGACATGCTCATCTGCATTTTTTCCAATTAGCTGCTCGCCTTCTAGCAGGGTGTGCTATTCGGGCCGGATTTGCTGCCAGTGGTGCCGGGGAGGCGAAGCAGTTCCATAATTTGCTTATATTCTCTGGCCATTTCATGAGCGTGACTGGACAGAATCAGTTAGGAAACTGGGAATGGGCTCAGTGAAAATGTGAACCAAGTCCAGAGACACTCCAAATTTGAATCAGACTGAAATTGGACAGTTCAAGGAGTTTTGATCAAGTCTGGATAATACATCCTCCCTCTCTGCGTCCCCCAGATTTCTTGCTGGAAATAGGATGAACTTGGAAGAGGATTGTTTCTCAATAAAATACATTTTACTGAAAAGAGATAAAACTGAGAAATTTGGAGTTGTGCTCGGTTTGGAACAGGTAAATCAATACTTAAGGTTTGAAAACTAGAAGATAATGTTATTGAAAACCAAATTGACTCTAGCCCTATTTTGTTAAAGCATAGTGAATGATAAGAATTTATAGAGCTGAAATAAAAACACACTGGATGGAATTTCCATTTACAAAAAAATTACTAAAAAATTAAATGGAAAATTTTTAACAATTCATTTTTTAAGAAATCAGAAATAAAACTTAAATTAACGAGAGGGCTGAAAATGGGCTTGCCAGATGCTTTCACCAAAAATCCCAAACATGGCAGGAAAAAAAATGGTTTGAGAGCCCCCCCCCCCAAAAAAAAACGGGAGAACAAGAAAAAGGTCGCTGCGCCTTTAAGAATTCCCGCCCTCCTTGCTTCCCCCCACCCAGGCCAGACGTGGCATGGGAACACTGCCAGTCTTCCATCCAAGAAAAACAGGGGTCAGAAATAATGGACACCTGGCAACCCTAGCTATAAACCTCTAGGCACTCAGTTCAAATCACACTGTGCTGGCAATGAATGGTAGCTCTTAGGTGGTTTATATGAGCTGGGTTTCAATATCTCAGTCTAAATCCCAGAGGCAAAGTCTCTGTCCATTGTGCCATGTTGGCTTGCAGAGAGGGAAATAATACAGTGGGTTTTGTGGTCCAGGGATGAGGCATTTAGTCAAGGCAAAGTAGGTGACACCTTCTCAGCTGCTTCCTGCATTGTATGTACTTCATGGGTAAACAGAGGTCTTCACTCTCTGATTGGCTGTATATTCATGTGTGTTTATACAAGCCTGGATGTCATCATCTACAGGTATCTTGTATGTAAAACCTCTGCGCTTCCTGAGACTGGTCCCTCACACCTGCCCCTCTGGACCAGAGTCATCAAAGGTGCGAATTGACACCCAAGGAGCTACTCTAACTTACACCCTCTGGCAGTCTGCTCCCTTGATTGGTGCTGCGCTCAAGTGCATCTGAAGAAGTGGGTTTTGCCCACAAAAGCTCATGATCCTATACATATTGTTGTTAGTCTCTAAGGTGCCACAGGACTACTCGTTCTTAAAGTTACAGACTAACACAGCTACCTTAGACTGAGAGCTTGAGGCTGGTTTCCTCGTATCGACCGATGACGCGGATGCTCAGTAGCTATACGCTACAATGCAGTAAGTCTCCCAGGCTGTGGGTCTGGAATCATTTCCTTCCATTTACTGAAGACAAAGCCGCCTTATGGACAGTGAGGTCCATGGTGTTGGAAAACGACAAGGCCTTTGGTTCAGAAATGAACAATTCACCATTTTGCTCAAAGCAATTTCTTTGTTGCAGGAACTTAAATTTTTCATGAACGTTTCATCTGAAAAGGAACCATTTTTGTGAATGCGGTGAGCTCAGAGTCATGCAGAATGAGGTTCTCTTTGCCATTTTAAAAAAATAGAGAATATCTACGGGGTTTCCAAGAAAGCAGATCATTTTTTCAAATTTGAAACCAAGAGTAATACACTCCATTTAGAGGCCTTGGGATGAGGCTGTGAATATTTTGCATGCAGTCTGTCACTATTTTCATGACCTGGTCTAGATGGTACTGGGTCCTGCCATGAGGGCAGGGGACTGGACTCGATGACCTCTCAACGTCCCTTCCAGTTCTAGTGTTCTAGGATTCTATGGGTTCTTTTCGGGCATGAGAGAGTTTTGGTTTCAGCTGAGTGGGGAGGGGGCACTTGACTGGAATTCGGAGCATCTGGGATCTGTTCCCTGCTCTACTGGAAGACCTGAGGCAAATTAGTTCATCACACTGTGCCTCGGTTTACCCAAACATCAAATGAGGCTAATGACACTTCCGTGCTCTGAGATCTATGGGTGAAAAGAGTGAGCTATAAAAGTGTTCTAGAGACTCTGATTGCCAGAAGCTGAGACTGGGGTACAGGGTACAGACCGCTTGATAATTGATCCATTCTGAAGTACCTGGCACTGTCTGAAGACAACATGCTGGTCTACCTAGCCCACTGATCTGACCCACGGTGGCCATTCTTATGTTATGTTCTTCTAGGTGATTGGGAATAATAATTAATATGATTAATGAACAAGGGTAACTTATGGGATTCTTCCTGTTTGTTGCCTTCTAGACATAGGCTGTGTCTAGACTGGCAAGCTTTTCTGCAAAATCATATGATTTTGCGGAAAAACCTGTCAGCTGTCTACACTGGCTGCTTGAATTTCCGCAAGAACACTGACGATCTCATGTAAGATCGTCAGTGTTCTTGCGGAAATTCAAGCAGCCAGTGTAGACAGCTGACAGGTTTTTCCGCAAAATCATATGATTTTGCAGAAAAGCTTGCCAGTCTAGACACAGCCTATGTCTAGAAGGCAACAAACAGGAAGAATCCCATAAGTTACCCTTGTTCATTAATCATATTAATTATTATTCCCAATCACCTAGAAGAACATAACATAAGAATGGCCACCGTGGGTCAGATAAAAGTGCTTTTGCGGAAAAGCGTCCTGCCAATCTAGATGCGCTTTTCCGAAAATGCTTTTAACGGAAAAGTTTTCCGTTAAAAGCATTTCCGGAAAATCATGCCAGTGTAGACGTAGCCATATTGTATAAGTGGGGGTGTGGACTGCTCTTAAATAATCTGAATTCGTAAATCACTTGAATCAAGGACTTGTCTACACAGCAAATGGAACTATAAATAACGACATTGGTTGTAGTTCACACCCTTTCTTATTTGGGTTTGTTTCAGTAGGAGAGTGCCCCATTTCAGCATAACTTAAGTTAGTTCCTTAGCCTCTTGACTAAATCAACGTCAAGGCACTCTCATGACAACACGAGAGTCCACACAGAGACTGGCACTGAGATAACCAAACATGTGAACTACGACTCATCAAGTTATTTCCCTTCCAGTGACCATACACACAATTCCCAAGGGGAAAGCAGTATCCACACATCCTCAAAAACAGATTTAACACATTGTCTCACAGCTATGGGGATGACAGGTGGGGTGGGGTGGTCATTGCACCTATTGCACTTATCCCCACCCTTTTTCTCCCCAGCCTGTGCCTCTTTTCCCGCCCTCAAAGTCTATCTGCTCCTTCCCTCCTAGGAATTCTATTGGCAGGGTAGTATTGTTCAATAGTCACTACGTGACCCAATGATCACATTCTATAATTCACCCCTACTGGCAGGGCAGTACTGTTCAATAGTCCACATGTGGCCCAATGGTCACAGTCTATTTGTGGGGGTGGGGGTGGGAATAGATAGGGGAAAGGTTTACATCCCCCTGCAGGGGAGTCCAGGCCCTCCCACTCCACTGGACCCCAGCCCAGGGTCCTGTTGGTGGCTTACTCTTGAGTCAGTGGGGAAATCCTAACTGCCACACGCTGACTTCTCAACAGTGGCTCATTCACTTGGAAGCTGTTGCCACTCCTGGGCTGCTTCCAGCTTCCCCGGGGTCTCAGTTTCCCGGGATGTCTGTTTCGCCACCTCTCTCTGCGTACAGGCTACTGCTGCTTATTCCCCAGATCCAGCATGGCAGAGCCCTGGCCTTTAGGTAGTCACTGGGGCTTGCAAGGAGCTGGCTTAGCATGTCCTCTCCCTTTGGCTGCCAGCTCCAACTGAGCTGCTCCCTTTTATAGTATTGCAGCCAGAGCATGCCCAGTACAGTACAGGAGGTGTGGCCTCTTCTGCCCTCAGGGCTGAGTTAACCCCGTCCTGCTCAGTGCAGGATGAGTACTCCCCATCACACACATCTTATAAAATGTACTACAAGGTATCCTGACAACAGCATTCAAACCTAAACCCTGGGGAAATAGTCTTAAATAGACCCATTTTCATTACATTTATGGCACAATGCATTACATAGTTCAGTGATTGTCAACCTATTCACTATTGCAGGCTGCATATGCAGTTCTCTGTGACTCTGTCTACACAGCAGCATTATTTTGGAATAACCGATTTTATTCTGAAATAACACAATGCGTGTCTACACTACAAGCCTCTGTTTCAAAATAATGGCAAGTTGGAGGACTTCTAACAATGACTCCTGGCGGTAACCCTCATTTCACAAGGAGTACAGGAAGTCAAAGGAAGAGTGTTCTTCCTTCGACTTCCTGCTGTGTAAACAGCACCAACAGCCGAGTTAAGCTATTTTGACTTCAGCTCCACAGTCGACGTAGCTGAAGTTGCGTAGCTTAATTCCACTTTAGCCCTGCTGTGTAGATGTACCCTCTGTGGTATGAGCTGTGTCCACACAATGTATATGCTACCTGTACAACACTATGAGTGTGTCTAGACTACAGAGTTTTGTCGACAAAAGTGGACTTTTGTCGATAAACTATACCTGCGTCTACACTACTGCTGAGTTCTGTCGACATAACGTCGACAGAACTCAACAGTTTTGTCAACGCTGGTAAACCTCATTTTACGAGGCATAACACCTTTTGTCGACAGAGTTCTGTCGACAGAAGGTGTTATTGCATCTAGAGTTGTGTCTAGACTACAGGGTTTTGTCGACAAAGCAGCTTGCTTTGTCGACAGAACTGAATGTAGTCTAGACGCTCTTTGTCGACAGAAGCTTTGTCGACAGTATCTGTCGACAAAACTTCTGTCGACAAAAGCCTGTAGTCTAGACGTACCCTATGTGGATTGAGAACCACTGATATAGTTTAAATACCCTGAACTGTATTAAAATTTTTTTTTAAATTGAGGCCTGTTGAATGCGTTGAAATATAACAGTAGTGCGAAGGAAGGTGAAACAGATTCCCCCTTATGGAAGTTACAAACTGTCCACCTCCTTCCTCTGTATCTCCCTCTCACTCATGTGCATTCACACACAGCATCAACACACAAGAGTTCTGGAACCCAGGGGGCCCGATACAAATGATTACTCACCGGCATATTTCTTACTCATGGGCCCAATCCATCTGCCGTTAGTCTAATAGACTCCCATTGATGTCAATCTGTATTGGATTTGCTCTATAGGAGAGTGCTCCTGTTTTGTGCCTCCTAAACGCCCCTGACTG